ACCCTGCTGGGCGGGACGCTGGGAGCCCGGCCCCGGGCAGCGGTCAGTCTCCGAGGCGTTTGCCCCGGGCGCTACCCAAGGCCCTGCCGCCGAGCGCGCTTCTCTCCGGAATAACCGGCTCCCGTCGCTAGCCGGCCGCACTTCTCGCCGCGCCCTCGGGGGCCGTCAACCTGCCGAATGCAGAGGCCGCCAGTGCTCATGGGAGTTGGTGGCTTATGCGTTGTTTTTTTTGTGCTTTCCCCCCCAACATATTTGTATTGATTTCAGAGAGGAGGGGAGAGAGAGAAACATCAGTGATGAGGGGGGGTCATTCATTGATCGGCTGCCTCCTGCACACCCGCTACTGGGGATTCCACCCGGCGAGTGCCCTGACCCCCGACCCTGACCGGGGATCTAACGGTGACCTTCAGGTTCATAGGTCGGCCCTCAACCACTGAGCCACACCCAGACCCGCCTGCGGCCTATGTCCTTATTACCTGAAATCACAGCTTCTCTGCAGGCCTGACTGTTACAGCAGCTAGAGGAACCCTGGAGCGGGGCTGGAGGGGGGCTGGGGGGCCGGAGAACAGGCCCCGGCCTCCTGGGCTTCACCGCCACCCCACCTGCCCTGCTGACCACTGAGGGCCTCAGGCCCTGGGTGCTGGACCAGTGCAGGCAGCTGGTGCCTGCTGGTGGTTGGTGGCTGCCCGTTGGCACCCACTCCGCTCCTTGCCATTCTCTGCATTCCATTCATCAGGACAGGTAGATGGCAGTACCAGACAATGGGTGAAGGTGTCTGGGTGCCCGCTCACTGCAGAGGGACCAGGTGGGCAAGGGCCAGCTGGGCAGACCCGTGTGTCCTCACCTTCCGGGAGGGTCCTGCTGCCCCTCAAAAAGCCCCTTCAGGTCCCTGATGCTGGAAGGTGTGGGCTGAAGGTCAGGCTCCTGCCCCACGTAGAACTTTCTAGAAGTCTTTGTGAGGGCCAGTCTCACCACATCCTTGCTGGCCTTGGGGGGAGAGGAAAAGACGAGGTAATAGGGCCCCCCAGCTCATTACTGGCTAATGAGGTTGGACAGTTTCCCATTTCTGTGACCAAATGAAGTTTCCTTTTTTATTCAGTTTCAAGAAATATGTTTTGTGTGTGTGTGTGTGTGTGTGTGTGTGTGTGTGTTTAAATTGATTTCAGAGGAAGGGAGAGAGAGAGAGAGAGAGAAACATGGATGATGAGAGAGAATCATCAGGTCGTACACGGGATCAAGCCCGCAACCTGGGCCTGTGCCCTGACTAGGAATCGAACTGTGACCTCCTGGCTCATAGGTCGACGCTCAACCACTGAGCCCCGCCGGCCGGGCAACAGGTACATATGGAAACTCACACTGGAATCATGATTTAGGTTCCTGTCTGTCTGTCTGTGTGTGACTTGTGTTGTTTTTATACATTTACTTGGGCACCTCCCTGTGTCTCCACCACTTCGCCTCTGAATACTCATTACTGGGCTCCAGCACAGTTTCCTAATTAACTCCACCCCACACAGAAGTAGTTGGTTAAAATTAGGTTCCTGCTGTCAGGAGCTTGAATGAACTTGGGTAGAGTTAGAATTTCAGCTTTTCAGAGCAGTTAACCACCAAGCAGACTTGAGTTAAATGTGCTCCTGACTCACCATTGTCAGAAAAGTATGCTGTGGAGGGAATACTTTAAGTTTTAAAATATTCAGAGTGATTATTTTATTTTTTTTTAAAGTTTACTTTTTTTAAAAATATATTTTATTGATTTTTTACAGAGAGGAAGGGAGAGAGATAGAGAGTTAGAAACATTGATGAGAGAGAAACATCGATCAGCTGCCTCCTGCACATCTCCTACTGGGGATGTGCCCGCAACCCAGGTACATGCCCTTGACCAGAATCGAACCTGGGACCTTTGAGTCCGCAGGCCGACGCTCTATCCACTGAGCCAAACCGGTTTCGGCCAGAGTGATTATTTTATAAAATAGTTGACTGCCTGGTCATCAAACAGCTTCTAGATAACCTATGATAATAAAAGTGTAATATGCAAATGGACTGAACGGCTGAATAGCAGAACGACTGTCTGGACGACCTTCAGACAAAGCCGGCCGCGAGGGCGGAGGCAGCGGGCTGCATGGCCTGCGCTCGCACGGACTTCTTCATCGGCCTCTCGTGTGTAATAAATAGACAGTTCGTAAGGACATGTGCGTTTTGTGGTTTGGATTGGCTTACCGTACTGTATCAACTGTTTCGAGATACTTACGAACTCCCAGGAGGCTGTAGAATGGTACAGAGAGAAGCGTTCCTCGCCCAGCGCCCAGGGTTGCCGCCCACACTGAGGGCACAGTAGCGTGAGCACCAGGAAGTGGACATGGGAAAATGCCTGCAGGACACCACCCTCTGCAGTTGCCACCAGTCTTACCGCGTGTGCCTTGCGTGTTCGCTGTGTGTCCGTTCGTGTGGCTGCTCACCGCACCCTGCCCCGCCCTTCCCAGCCGCCCGGCCCCTTCTCTGGCTCGACGGCCCCTCGGTGATTGCTGGGCAGTGAGCGGGTCCTTCAGACTGTGGCCCTTTGCCGCTGGCTTTGGCCCTCAGCGTGATGCCTCCTCTTAGGTCCATCTCAGCAGATGAGGTGTGTGCCTGCTGGGAGTCAAACCCCAACCTCTTGTGGATGGACGACGCTCCACCCCATAGTCGCCGGGCCGGCGTGCGGGCTTTTACGTGGACAGTTTTCCTCTGCGACAGGCCCAGGTGCTGCCCGTGCTGGGCTGTCTGTCAGTTTTTATAAGAAACTGCCGGACTGTTTCCCAGAGGACTGTGCTCGCTCCTCCCTCCCCACCCCTCCCCTGCGCAGGGCGGCTCTCGCCCCCTCTCTGGCTCTTCCTCATTTGGGTGGTCCTGGTGGGTGTCTGGCCACTCCTCATGGCCCAGGAGCCTCCGCAGGCTCGCTCCTCCCGCGTTCTAGGTCGCGTGGATTTGATTGTTGTGTCTGGTGAGTGCGCCCTGGGCGTTGGTGGCTGGCTAGTTCGCTGTTTTCTCGTCTGTAGCTTGTTTTTAATCCTTGACCGGGGCTCCCACAGAGCAAGCTGCTGAGCGAAATCCAGTTTATCTGTTTTTTTCCCTTTTATGGGCTGTGCCTTTTATATCGCGTGTAAGCAGCTCTCTGGCCCCGAGTCCCTGTCTTCTTGTAACAGTTTCCTAGTTGGCACTTGCACTGTGATTGATTCGATCCCCTGGGAGCTGATGGTTGTTGCTGTGAAGTTTAGGTTGTTCGCTCTCATGCCCAGGACCATTTGTGGAAGGTTCTTTCCTCGCTGAGTGGCTTGTGTGCCTTTCGCAGAAGTCGGCTGAGCACGTTGCCTGGGCCTGTCTCTAGGCTCAGCGCTGCTCCCCGGACCTGGGCCTGCCTTCCTCCAGACGCCTTGGCCTGGATTGTTCCAGTTAGAGAGTAAGTCTTGTGTGTGTGT